TATTTTCTCTTTAACAAAATATTTACTCGTTTAAGAAGATTTTCATTATCTTCACGAAATACATCAAGTTTTGCTCGATAATCTTGTAAAGCTAAAATATTAAATTCTCATGAATTATACGATCATTCAACAAAAATTTAAATTGGAAATGGACAGTTATTATTTGCTAGGACAGAAATAGAACCGATCTGAGTAGTCCAGATCGATCTATCAGTTCCATTTACATGCTATGCAAACTTCCATAGGAATTTTGAATAAATTAATTTCTTTTGAGAGAATGATTATCATTATCATAAACTGATTGATTTAATTGTTTCAATATATAGGTGTGGAAAGAGAAGATTCAAACTCTTCGCAAGTGCAATCATTCTAGACTGTCTTATAAACAGTTACTTCTAATCGAATTATATGTCGATTGAGAAATTTTGCTGAATATGCGATCACTCGAAAATATTGTTAGTTCACTGCATCTATTACGAAAACCTACAGATGCTGATCTTGTCTCTATTTAAAAATTGTGTCAAAATACTTGCCGAACATTTTTGACTAGGAAAATTCTCTGTATACTTCTAGAATTTAGAAGAAAACTTTTATCAACTATCAAAGTTCATCTTATTTTCTGACTTTTTATCGGATTTTGGTAGCGTTACGATAGAGCATTGTAAATAGGAAAAAATAAAATCTTCATTTAAAGCATCTCCTCAAAAAAAAAAGTCATTTTTCGTCAGAGTGGTCGAAATTAAGATAAATACATAGGAAGATAGCCCGTGATTTGATCTTTCATAAATAACAAAAATTTTTACTCAACACGTTTTTTTTTCCAAAAATTTTTGAAGATTTCTGTCGTCCCCTACTCGAAAAATAAGCTGCTTTCAGAAATAGAATCTCGGTTTTGTTTTTTTCTCCGTTTATAGTTTCTAGAGCGTGCAATTCAAATTTCTCTGTCGATACTCATTCAATAGATTTAATTTTTTTCTTCTGTTTGAAAGAGCGTATCAAGAGGCAGTGCAATACAAAACGTTTTTTAAGTCATTAAACTTTCGATTTCTTTTCTTCTCTTAAAAAGCAAGCATTTAAAAACAATGGTTCTGTACTGCCCTGCATCCTGACATGCTCTTTCAAACAAAAAATAAATCAAATCTCTAGAATAAACCTGAGCAGAGAAATTTGGTTTGCCTAATGAGCTATTTTTGACCTTTGTTTGGTCAATATTTCCTTCAAACGTCATGATATCGGACTGAAAATTTCATGTCATTTGAACATTCCTAGGCTGAGATCGGTTTTTTGACGGGAGGTCTTAAAAATAAAAGGATGAATGATGGTAAGATTATTTTTCGAAAAAGTGAGAATCAGCATTGGATTCTCATCATATAGGCTTTTTTTGAAAAATGGCCTTACTGCCACTCATTCTTTTTTTTCAGTAATCGAAGTTAATTGAATCCTAAGTTTAGTAAGGCTTTTAAAAAAAGCATATCGTATAAAACAGAATATTAGATATTTTGAGCGTTGTAAAGTAAATTCGCGTCACATTAATCTATTTGAAGACTTTAGATAGATGATCTTGATTTAATAATGAATTTCTATGATTACTTGTTTCAAGTTTAAATACTTCTTCTTGTTGAGATTGAATTCGTTCTTGTAAACTTTTATAACGACTTCTTGGAATTGATCTTAAATATAAAAGAAATTCTTAGAAACAAAAAATGTTTAATTCATTTCTATTTACTCGGCATCTTCAGCATTTTCATATTGTTGTAAACGTTCATTTAAACGTGTTGTTTCTTGTATTAAACCAAATTTATCATCTTGAAGTGTTGATATTTGTAAATCAAGTTCACGACAACGATGTTCAATTTCTTCTTTAGCTTCAACAACACGATTAAGTTCTTCTAACGCATGTTTTAACTAAATAATAATTTATTTGATTTTTTTTCGAAGAGAAAAAATTCAAAATTTATTTACTTGATCACCTAATTCAGAATATTCTTCATTATTTTTTCGAATTTCTTTTACCATTAACTAGAAAAAAAAAAATTTTATTTATTTAGTTTTTTTTTTGTTAAATATCTTAACCTCTTGAATAGCATTCATTAAAACATGTTGAACAGATTCTTCTAATAACATAATATGTTCAATATAAAATTGTTTTCTATCACAACTAACAGCACAACCAAGAACAAGTTGTAATAATCGACTAAGTTCTGTTTCATCAGTAGTTTCAGCTATATTAATCAAACAATAAAAAAATAAAATAAAATAAAATTTTTATTAAATAATTACATATCATATTAACATCAGGCATTTGAAAATCAACAAGAGATTGACCAAGTATCTTAAGATAAATAAATAAAATTTTGTTTTTCAAAAAAAAAAAAAAAAATATGAATATTACTTCAGAATAATAATCGGTTATATTCTTGAGAATTTTTTTAAGATTATTTGCCTAAATTTAAAATATACAATAATAACAGATAGGTCATAATAAACGGATCAAAAACGTTTTTCCTATTGACGAAACATCCGAAATGATAACCATCGTTGGATATCTTGATAAGACTAGCAGAAGTCTAAAAGGATTCGTTCCATAAGTTTCAATCGAAAAGAATATTCGCGCTATGAGCTCAAACGACGGGTTTCATTTCGGATGATTTCTTTGTCAGACGTCCAACTGCAACTTTTGTTTCATAAAATTTCGCATGTTTTTTACTTTCGAAATAATCTAAAGATTTACGTTGTTCTATTTTAGTATTGCATCGTTTTCTTTGGGATAGTTAACTTTTGAAAATACAATACCGGTAGGTGTTAGTTTCAAGTCTTTCGCATGCAAATGACACTATTCGAAAGTATAGAACAAAAAATTCTGTATGTAATCATGCTGAACATTTTACATTTAGCATCAAACTTATAAGACGATAGATATCCGAATGAAAAAAAATTCTCTATCGAATAAGTCTAAAACAGATTTTTCCATATGTTGGAATATATCATAGAAAAAAAAAACATTTTGATCCGTTTTATTTTATGAACTACTCATTACTTTTATTCGATAATTATCACCAGCATCAGTTCGAATTTTTTGTAACCAAACATCATTAAAATGATTTGCATCACTAGAAAAACAGAATTTTTTTTTTTCTAATATAAAAATAGAAAAATAATAACGAACATATTTTTTAAACACATAGCAATAAGAACACCATCGGATAGATCACCAACACCATTTATTGGTCGATTTAGATCAAATGTTTTCATCTATATATAAAATAATAATAACAAAGTTCAAATATATGTATATTGAGATGAATTTTTTCATACCCATTTAATTAAACTATCGCATAAAATACGTCGATCCATATTTATCAATAGAAATCTTTTTTATCTAGAATTTTGAAAAATCTGATATAATAATGTTTCGAAGTTATTTCTTTAATTATGTAAATGATCTTCATACAGGTCTCTTCTTAGTCTGTTACTTTATTTTTGTTGAAATAATAAAAGTATTTCAAGGTTAATTTGTTAATGGATAATATTTTGTATTCCATGTAGAGTGTTTTTTCGAAATAAATATGCACTAGTACTAGTTTACTAGTCATAGACTGATTCTAGTGTATATCTAATATCATTAGTTGTTATAGCATAAGGATCAATAGAAATTAGTAAAATAATACTGAAAGTGTATCAAATCGACCAATCAGAATGAGAGATTAAAGTTCGATGATTCCAAAAATTACCCGAAGCCTTTAAATTATCACATGAATATAATAAATTTTGGCTTTTTACCAACGACGCTACACACTTCATTACTATTATACATATATATATATATATATACTAGAATCTTTTTAATCCTCAAAATAGATTTAGAAATTTTTCGGATATATCTAATGATTTAAAGGTCCTAGTACTTTTAGAATTCTAGATCTCTAACGAAAGCTAATGCATATCTATTTTGAAGCAAATTCCGATACTAATTTCCCATATGAATCGAACTCAATAAAAACCGTCGGTATATTGTTTTTTTCATGAAAAAAAAATATGTAGAAACATTCTCATTTCCCTGGTCTAGTATGACCGAAAGAGTTAAAACAATTTTCACATATACTGTACACTATTTAGGATGGATTTTTTATTTTTATTATTCTGATGATATTTGGTAGCTCTTACGAAAAAAATTCTATACAATTAATTATGCGCTTTTTCAGTACTTTTAATATTTTGGCTTCTTTTTTTTCTATTCGAAGGATAAAAAATAAAAAGAAACCAAAAAAGTTACCCATTCAAAACAATGTCTAGTGCCTGGAAAAAAATTTTTAGTTCGATCGAACATAGCATCTCGCTCAAAAAAGGCGAAGAGGGTAGTATCTTTAAACGGTTGGCTATCGTCTGACTCCAGTATACCAATAGTTGTTCTTTGACCAACAATCTACTGCTTGTAAATCATCGGTTCTTATGAGTACCATAGGATATACCGGCGGTATGGATTATCACTGGACAAAATATGCGATAAATGATTTGGTCAGAGCTTCGAAATTGTTTTGATGAACTATCTGAAAGATAAACTGAAAAAAAAAACATCATCAAGTGATACAAAATTTAAAAATTTTATCTCTTTGTCTTAAGATAACTGAAATAAAAAAAAAATCAATGTTTAAAATTTATGATTCATGAAAAAAAAAACAAATAATTCATATAACAGTTAACTTTTCAGTGACAAAAAGAAATAACTCAAAAGAAATGACGCACACTATTTTTTTTTTATTATCTATGACTAATGTCAATATTCATATTTCTCTCTTTTTGAAATATTCCATATATATAGAGAGAGAGTAGTACATTTGTTCATTTAAAAAATCGTAGCGACAAACGATACTACTCGTTTATTTTAATGATTGGTTAACAGTCTCCATTGAACTTGTAAAAAATCTTTCTCGTCAATAGATTGTTCTGTTTGTCGCTAGTGTATTTTAAAACTATAAAAATCTTCTATTATGCAGGAAAATATGACAACAAGGCCACTATGGCGTTATTTGTATTTACTAATTATATATATATATTTTTTTATTTTGATATTTTTTACTGTTTTTCTTTCAGATTTATTCATTGACTGTGATTTGAAGAGAATTAAATAAATAATGTAAATAAATTTAAAAGATTTTTAATCAATAAATTTTTTTTTCTATTATTTATTAGGACATCATTATATGAAAATCAACCTCGTTCTACACAATATGAAACACCAAAACGAACGGATAATCTTCAAGCTGATGTTAATCAAGTATGAAATAACAAAAATTTATTCAAGTTACACTAAGAAATATTTTTTTTTTTTTGTTTTTTTTTTATAGGTTGTTACTATTATGAAAGATAATCTTGAAAAAGTACTTGAACGTGATGCTAATTTAGCTGCAGTTGAAAGTCGAACTGGTGACTTAGAACGTGGTGCATCACAATTTACAATAAATGCTAGAAATTTAAAAAAGAAATATTGGTGGAAAAATCTTAAAGTAAGTTATTTGTTTAAATGAATAAAGCAGTTTTAGTATTCATATAGTTCATGTTTTATTATTAAATATTATAATATTACATGATGAAACATGAACAATAGAAATACTCTAAAAATAATATTTAATAGAGATTAATTTTGTTGTAGATGTGGGCTATTTTAATAATTATTATTGTAAGTAGTTATTGTTTTATGTGAGATCTCAATCTAAGCACTTGTTTTTTGTTTTTTTGTTTAAGATCGTTTTGATCATTGTCATTGTTGGTAAGATATCAAAGATAATTTTATTAACAGAGTCAATTTTTTTTTTGTTTTTTAGTTGCTGTTACACAATCAGCAAAAGGCAACAGTGATAATAATAATAATAATAATGTCAATCAAAATACTACCCCTGGAAAATAAATCAATATAAAATCAGAGAATGGTAAGAAAGAGAAAGAATTTTTATGACGTTAACATAAAATATCTAATCAGACAAATCTCTACGGAGGAAATATTTTCAAGTGTCCAATTGCTTTTAAGTTAAAACTATGTGCATCATGTAGGTTCTGACAATACTATGAATACTCTGTAAGAAGTTAGAGTGAGAATAGTAGAACTTTCTCTGTATCAAGTTTCAAGTGAAAATTCAAAAGTCAATTTTTCATAGTATTCCCAAGGGAATCACGAAATTATGCTAAAAATGTGATATCTCGACAGCAATGAGCTAATAGCTCAAACTTTTTTCAGACTATTCATAGCTTATTAGAATCTATATGATGTATATAGTCCCGACTGAAGAGCTATTCGACACTTGAAAATGTTTCTTCATACGTAGAATAATTACGATAGAGTTGCTAGATTAAATTATCATTTTATGACATTGTAAAGTCGAATTCGTTCTTAAATAAATCTTAACCGTTTACCTTTCATAGAAGCATGATTGAATAATATGAAAAATCTTTATTTATTTTCTTTCAGGACATTATTAAAATGGGCAAAAAACAGCTTATATCGCATAGTATTGAAGTCATATAAAAAAAAAAAAAGGAAGAAACGAATATATAAAAATAAACTAATTTTAAAATAGTACAGGTATTTTTGACATAAATTGTTAAATAAATCGCCTAGTTTTCTTCGAAGTATTGAATAATCACTGAAGACATTTTATGCATATTAACTACATGATGAGGATTACAAGACATACATGAAAGGAAGTGGCGCTTTGTTACATAGGTTGTATTCCCCCGCAAGGTTTCTTTTTGTTTCAATATTTCTTGGTTATGGGTAGTATGAAGATGTAAAATCATCCAATCAGACCTTGGATATTTTTAGTCTTAGCAAAAAGAATCAATATTTTAGAGAACGGTCATTTATATAGGAAAGTACTAGAAAATAGAGAGTATTTAGATGTTTCTGTAGTCGAAAGTTGGTCTTTATGTAAAATGAGTATGATATTTAGAATCAGCATGAAAAATTACACAAGACAATCTATTTTTCATTGTAAAATATTTTCCATGGAAATCTGATCCCTACTTCTCCTCAATCTTTTATCCGTGAGATTTTCCCCCCTGGTCCCCTACGGATCAAATTTTCATGGAAAATATTTTACAATGAAAAATAGACTGTCCAGTGTAATTTTTCATGCTGATTCTGAATATCATACTCATTTTACATAAAGACCAACTTTCGACTACAGAAACATCTAAATACTCTCTATTTTCTAGTACTTTCCCTATATAAATGACCGTTCTGTAAAATATTGATTGTTTTGCTAAGACTAAAAATGTCCAAGGTGTGGTTGAGTGATTTTACGTCTTCATACTACTCACAACCAAGAAATATTTGTGCGAAAAAAAAACCTGCGAGGGATATAAGCGCCATTTCCTTTATTCTTGATTGTTCTCTGTCTGTCAAAGAGTGACAACAGAGTTCATTTTACAGCTTATTGTCTATAAATCCGTCAAACTGATCTCTACTTCCTGAAGAAAAAAAATATTGTGTTTAAAAAATTTCATTTTTTTTCTCAAAATTATTAATTTTGTAAATTAGATATTTCGGAAATGATGCTATGAAACGGAAGTGTTCTTTTTTTACTAATCATAGCTTATGAAATTTATTATGAAATATGTTCTTAATGCTTTGAAATTCTATGCATTGCTTAGTTTTTGTAATCGATTAACAAATAGTTACTCCATTAGTAAAAGGTTAAGGTTAAATAAATATTCTAGTGACCTTTAAACTTCTTTCAATTGAATTTTTTAAAGTAAACTTAATTTTTTGAATATTTGTTAAAATTCTGTTAGGATGATTTCAAAATAAAAGATTTTATTTATTTATTTTAGAATGATCTGCATCAACGATCTATTTTTTATATGTCAAGAGTTCGGATTATCATGTACTTATTTTGTTTTTTTTTTCTGATTTCTTGAAAAGCAAAAACCGTCCTATTTTATCCATGTCTTTTATAATATATTTTTATTATTCTTTTGCTTTCTTTCAAACATTCCTATGTAACCTATTGCTGAAATGATCTTATTATTGTGACTATTTCTTTTTTTGTTATTTTTATTTATTCATATAATCTTCAATATAGAATAAAATTTTTCTATATTAAAGCTTCGTTTTATTTTTGCTTTTTAGATTTTTATATTAGTATATTGTTAAATTAATTTATTATATAATATGTAAAGATTGAATTAAGAAAAGAAAAATGTTTTTTATTTAATAGTTCTGTCATGTTAAATAGGTCAACTAATGGTGGTGGTGCCTCAACACCAGCTGGTGGTGGTGGAGGTTCAAAACGTCTAGCTCAACAACAGGCACAAGTGGACGAAGTTGTGGATATAATGAGACAAAATGTTGATAAGGTGTTAGAACGTGACAAAAATTTGTCACTCCTTGATGATCGAGCTGGTATATTGAAAAAAAAAAATTTATAATTATTTATGTATTTATTATTTTTGAAGATAAATTACAACATAATGCAGCTCAATTTGAACAACATGCAGGAAAATTAAAACGAAAATTTTGGTTGAAGAATATGAAGGTAAATATCAAAAAATGATTATAAATATAGAAAAGTTTTTTTCTGCTTATTATCTTTGACGAAATAAATTATTATTATTATTTTTTTCTAATGGGAATGATTAGATGATGATTATTTTGGGAATAATAGGCACTATTTTTGCCATAGTGGTAATAGGTAAAAAAAAGAACCTAATGTTGTTATTGTTTTACTTTTTTTTACCATGATCCCATTGTTATTGAATCGCACGTTTATCGTTAGCTTTTGATAGTTATATATATATATTTTTAAAATATGAATTTTTGATTAATTATTTATTCATTTAGCATGGATCTATTCGAAAGTTAAAGTAGTTGTACCTGCTTCTTCAACTGCTGATGTAACAACATCTATTCCATCGGTAAATGATGGATTACCTAAAGTAGCCGGTGGTTCAATGGCTATACCAGGTGAACAAAAAGCAACATCAAAACGTCGTAAACATCGAACAACGGCAACATCAACAATAGCAACTATTCTAGTCAGCTCAACAGTGGCACCAAAAAATGAAGATGATGGATCTAAAAATGAGGCAGATACTTCAAAAACAGTTATAAAACGATTTATTCGTACACTTATACAATAGTCAATGATTGTCATCAAGCAAAAAAGAAACATATTTCTTCATTCCATCGTGACGCGATCCTCTTGCACTATTTTTTTTTTGCTTTTCTCTCTTTTGGTTTTACACCTTCCATGTTGTTTTGTTTTGTTGTTCGTATACTAAAAATGATACTCATATTTATTTCTCTACAAAATATATATTTTTTAGGGCACATCATCCATTTAATATTGTATAACTTTTATTCTTGAATATATAAATAAATTTTATTTCATTCCTTTTACTCATAAATCAATAATAATTGATAATTGTTTCATGTTAATATGCTGAACTATGAATAGATATATTGCATTTTGTTTACTACGAACATAAACTTCGTGTATATGAGCAGATTCATATAATCATAATCTTATTTGATTTATTCATGCAAATAATTAAGTACAAATACAGTATTGAGTTTCTTTAATATACCAATTGTATGGATACAACGACCAGACATATTACTCATTATGCGGAATAGTTTGGCCGTTCTAGTGCTTGTTGCAAAAAGAGTAGGTAGAACTAGAAATGCAACGATGACGGTGATCACCGGTCTTAGGTAGAGCGCTGCACTTCTCTAGACATGCATGTCTAAAATAATACTAAATACGATGATCTTAGAGTCATTTTGACTATGTTGATCAGTATATCAAGCTCTCGAACTAAAAAATTGAGCTCGAGAATTTCGGCAAACCACCTATAGATTCGGATTCCTGGACTCCGAAAATCTTTAGTCTGTTTTTGTGAAAATTTAGCTATTTTCTTGAAATAGTCTCCTTCATCGAAATCAACCCAAAATACCAAGAAAACACATGACATCACTCCAAAAAGAGCTAGCATAAAGCAATAAAAGTTGTCAATAAAAAAGAAAAAACAACTCATTTCTTACAGACGTTTGTGTAATTTTTCCCGTGAAATTAACCGTTGACTCAACTTGACTATAAAAGCATCTGTAATAGAATTTTAATTCTTGTTTAATCTTTGATGAGGCTCAATTTGATTGTTTTCTTCTTTTTTTTTTCTTTGTTAGTCGAACACAAGGAACTGATAATGTTGAATTAGAAGCCATATCAATCGTCGTTGATGGTGCTGATTCAGTATATTTGACATGAACTGAATCATCAGCTGCAAAAGTATTAATTGCGGATTGACCAAAATTTTCGATAAAGACCATTTGGCACACTCAATTCAATGTCAAACTAAAATTTGATCTAATAAACAAAGACTATCACTATGGGAATTAATTATGAGAGTATGAAAAGAGAATAAAATAGCTTTTTGCTAATATTTTTTATTTATTTTTGGGATATATAATTCTAGGGTGGGTGTGAATTAAGTAGAGACCCACACCTCACACCCAAAAATGCTTGAAAAATAAAACTCTATAGGACCATTTTTGAATATATAGGAAATATAGGACGACTACGAAGCCTGCGCTGAAGTAATGAATAAAAGCAAAACACTTGAACACTTTTCTGCTATGGATAAAAAGATATGACAACCAGAAAAAAAGAAAGTTTTACACTGTAGGTTGTGACGATTTGTGCCTTGCTTTCCATCATGCCAGAGGAAATGTTTAGAGGAGTCTTATATTCGATACCGAAGACTGGACTCGTCCAATTTTCATAGTCGCTATTGTTGTTCTCATCTCCGAATATCTTCAGAGCTCGATACAAGAACATATAATTCCCAGCTGGCACTTGAACACCAGTGCTGAGTGTTCCATTCCAAGTAGCATTATAATGGTTGTCAGCA